GCGTTATGCCAGCTGTGGTCTCAAGAACAAGCACTAGTGTTAAGGTTTACTCTATGTTCTTCTGTATGCATGCTTTAGAATGAGTTTCGTATGAGCTTTGCCCTTTTGCCAAGAGTACATTTTGGTCAACTACAAATCCTCACTCCCAGAACCACTGATAACCAGTTGTGTCTCAGTTCCGTGTCTGTAGAGGTGATCTTTCTTAGGTGTGAAACCTTGTACATGTCTGAGCTGAAATGCATCCTGTTAGTTTTTTCAGATCCGTTCTCAAGTTTCTCAGAATCTCTTGGAATTGTAAATCAGGACTCTTAGATGTCAAACCAGGCCTCTTACACTGCTAATGTGTGATACTCTCGGTTCTGTCGTCCACGCCCTTAGTGAAAATACTGATTAATACAAGAGTCAGGGCAAATAGCTTCAGAATTTTACCTGATAGATTCCTCCAGTTTGGCACGTGTTCTTGGTAAGTACTCTGTGAGCAGTTTTCTACCCAGTATCACATCCACCCAATGGCAGTTACGTCTAGATCATATTTCCCTTGATTATGTATGAGGATGACATGAAAATCAGTGGCAAAACCCTAGTGAAGGCCAGATTCATGACATGTTGCTTCTTCATTTATAGGCCTGTTACCCTGGGATAAAGAGAAATTAGATTTAATATGACGCAGTTGCCTCATCTAAGTCAACCTTTTCAGCAAAGGCTGATGCAAAAATGGCTTTAAACAATTTGTTCTGTTGTTATTACCTCCCGATAGCTTTACCTCTTTATCCAATTATAGTGTATCTAAAAATATACAGGAACTGACATGACAGCACAATTGAGGCACTCTCTGAATTTGTTCAAAGAATTCTGGACTTCAGCAGGCTTGCTGCAGTTCTTAAAATTGGAAAAAGTTAACTGGTGATAGCAGATAGTAAACTTGGCAAAAGAAATTCAGCTTCTCCCAACTGTCAGTATCGCACGTCCACCCAGTTCAGCACTAGGGAACATCCTGTGTATTCACTTTGCCATGAATTGCTGAATATCCACCTCTCTCTTTCACCTCTTTATCCAAACTTGGACAGTTATTCATTCAGTAGAAAAAATAGGATGTTTAGTAAACATTGGTGGACACATTTTACTCATTTTAACAGAAACACTCTTAACTCCGTGCCATATTATGAGGAAAGGCTGAGGGAGCTGGGCTTGTTTAGCCTGAAGAAGAGAAGGCTGAGAGGGGACCTTATAAATGCTTATAAATATCTGAAGGGTGGGTGTCAGGAGGATGGGGCCAAACTCTTTTCAGTGGTGCTCAGCGACAGGACAAGGGGCAATGGGTACAAACTGAAGCAGAGGAAGTTCCAGCTGAACATGAGGATGAACTTCTTCCCTCTGAGGGTGACGGAGCACTGGAACAGGCTGCCCAGGGAGGTGGTGGAATCTCCTTCTCTGGAGATATTCAGGACCCGCCTGGACGAGGTCCTGTGCAGCCTGCTGTAGGAGACCCTGCTTTGGCAGTGTGCTTGGACTAGATGACCCACAGAGGTCCCTTTCAACCCCGAACATTCTGTGATTCTGTGGTAAGTACTTATATCACCTGTATGATAGTCTTCGTAAGTGCCTATCTTACGCTCGCCTTCATGATAAAATAGGCTGAGCTGATGTGCACATATTTTACGACAGTGATCCACAAAGTTCATTCAAAAAAAACCAATTAAACATCAGAATTGGAGCTGTTTTACAGCAGTTTGATTGAAACATATTCCTGTCCTGGTGGTTTGGAGAGATCTTGTTCACTTCCACCAAATGTTCAGCTGACTCTGCAGCAGGGGACCAAGAACATAGATGAGATGACTTCTTGTCACTGCTGAGTCTGTGGTGGAGTGAAGAGCTTTGCTCTCACCTAAGGCAAAGCAGAGACTTGAATTGGATCTTACTGAATCTGTGTTATTGTCTTATAAATACAGTCTGTGAAGAGCATGTTATTTTGTATTCTTGTTTCTAAAAGCTCTAAAAAGTTTTTCACGTGCTCTGTCAGGAGACTGGGGTTTGTTTTCTTTGTAACCTACAAAGCTGCAGAAAAACAGAGTTTTCCTCTCTTTCTGCTCTATAGTTACGTGAGATATTGCAACTTACACAGCAGGAAGTGTTAAATAATTATCAAAGGGAGGTTCTTCCCTTTGAAAAGGATATCTGGCTGACCTCTGTCTCAGAGTTTTTGATAACACAAATATTTGCCTGAATGTATTGTGTTTCTTGGGGCTTTTCCTGCCTTCCTGCTTTTCTCCCTCCTTCCCTCCAAGTGGTAAGAATTTTGGTGGTGTTGATCTGGCCCATCATTTGTTTTAGGGGATCAGGAAAGAAAAACTTCATGTCAGTCTAAGATTTGGAGAGAATAATTATAACTTTGTATGAAAGTCAATTCCTTAGATGGTAGCCAGGGTCAAAGGTAGGCAAGAGGCCAGTTCTTTGGGTTGGGATCTCATTGGCGAGTAACACACCAGTGAGAGTAACGTCAAAATCTTCACCAAGTAGTTACTCCCTGTGTGTCCTCTATTTTTATTATTATGTGGACAATTTATTCTGACCTTAAAATTTCAGTATCTGTGATAGCGAATTGACTGAAACTTGGAAGGGGCTGAAACAATAAGAAATGCCAATCTTACGTGGTAAGTCAAGTTGCAAATGTGACAATGCAAATAACTCCAATGTTGGAGACTCCAAGCTACCAGGAATAAATAGCCTTGTGAAGATTTAATTCAAGGAAATTAAGGAAAAATATGTACACTGTTTTTTTGTAATAGAAGAAAGAAAAATATCAAAAATATAACTTCTTCTCTCACCTAGTTTTAACTCTGTTATCTGCTACTGCAATAAAAAGCAATTGGTCTTAGAAGTAATGAAAAAATAATTTTCTCCTGGAGGACAAAATAAACCTGCATTCATGTAATAGCAATCATTCAATTTAGATCTTTATTTCACATTTACCATTATGTTGTCTATTTTGATACAAATTCATATCTGTGCTTAAAAGGCTGTGTATACAATTGTTTTATTTTGTTTCTGTACATAGTTTTAAAGCAGTATGAGGGAAATGAAAGAAGAATCAAGGTCAGAATTGTAGTTTCTTTTGCCCCTTTGTTCCGGTGAATAATGTGTCTCATTCCCCCTGAAACTCATTGTGCTGGCACATAGCAGGATACTGTATGTCACAGGTCCCTCATTAAAATGCCGTCTGTCTTGTCGTTTCCAGATGTAGGCCTGTGTTCTTGAACTTGAGACAGTACTGAAGCTGGGGGCCTGGATATACCATAAGCATCCACCAATCAGTAAATATGTATTAGATTATAAAAAGGTGTACTTCAATTTATCTTCGCTCTGTAGCCCAACTCTTATTTTTGTCTGTTTCGTACCTTTCCCAACAAGCTTATCTTACAACCATGAGGAAGGTGTGTCTTGGTCTTCTCTGATCTGTTTTAGTTTTGGTTTTGTTTTGGTTTGTTTTTTTAATAAGAAAAAGTATTCCTTCAAACAGTTACACTTTCAAATTCTGCGACTGCAATTATTACATAGTTATACTTTGGGAGACATATAATTTCCAGTAATTCATATAAATGGGAAAATGAACATTGTGACAGAGTGATTCAAGCATAAATAAAATCTCTGAAATGACATGGCTTGAAAAACGTACGCATTACTTATTAAATTGCTTACCCGTTATACTAATTATAAGTAATTCAGACACTGCCTTAACTTTCCATTTTGTGGATGGTAGGTGTTTTATAAACAAGAATAAGTCACAACATATTTATTGTTTAATTGCAGCCTAATTACAGTGTGTTGATAGTTGCTGTGTGTAACTGTGAGTTCCTGGTGGCATGCAGTGCAAGAGGTAGACCACCTCGTAGAGAAGGTTATAGATGAAAACCACTACGGCAGTAGAGCCATCAAGACCACCAGGCCAAAAGGTCTCCTTGCTTCCCGTGGTAGAAGTTATTATGAAGGGCCAGGACTATTGTATGGCCACGTAAGAAGTTAGCCTCTCTCTGCTACCTGGCCTGCTTCTGACACTGGAAGTATATCTGACCCTTGTCTGGAGCACTGACAATCTTGCAAGAATATTAGGTAAAATATTTCTCTCACCATGCTGCATTTTCAGAATTTGTTTCACTCTTTGTATATTAAATGTTTTACTAATGCTTAAATGTAGGAAGAATGCATGCATTCAGTATAAATTGAATATTCTGGTTCCATAGTCTGAACTTGCAGAAAACACACCACTTTTCTAGCTATAATAAATTTTTATTTGAAACAGTTTTAGCCAGTGGAATGTTTGCAAACAGTCCAGTCTGGAGCCGCAGCCAAGTATAGGGCTGTGTCCTGCCTGAGACCTGATTGTGGCTTGATTTGAATATTAGGTGTTTTCCTATTGGCATTCAAGATACTTTTTTGGTAATCTTATTCACATACTGATTTCTGATATACTTACCTATTTATTTATCTTCTTCAAAGACAGAAGATGCGTATTTGAACTATTAAGTCTTTCTCAGTTCTTAAAAGAGTATTGTAGAACCTTCTCAGGAGAGAGGGCAAGCATACCTGGAGGTTTTAGGACAATTAAACCTTTTCCTTTGTTCTTTTGTACCTGAAAGAATATTGCATTTTGTAATTAGCATACTTAGAAACACTTATGCTCCTTCATCTGTAAGAAAAAGGAAAATCTATTGGTCATATTTCATAAAAGCTTTTTGAAAGAATTTAAGTTGTCTTTCTCTCACTACGCTAATATTAATGGTTTCATGGACACCACTGTCCCTGGTACACTGAGGCCCATTATTCGGCCCAACTCAATGATAGCATACAGATTTTGAAATTCAGAAGTGCTCAGGCTGGAAAGGTTGGCTTAGGCCACAGTGCATTTCAAATATATATATGATGATAACAAGTGATTTTGTTTAAAAAAAAAGAAAAACACTCTGACATAGACATTTTGCAAATCAAATTATTTCATGTTTCAGGCCAAGATGACTCAACTGCCAGAGGCTGAGAAGGAAAAGATAGCTGAGCAAGTGGCTGACTTCAAAAAAGTCAAGAGTAAGCTTGATGCAGAGATTGAAATATGGGATGATACCAGCAATGACATCATTGTTTTGGCCAAGAGGATGTGTGTGATTATGATGGAGATGACTGACTTCACAAGGTAATTATGCAAAAAAAGGGTCTTCAATATTTATAAACATTGAAGGCCGTGGCCATATTGGTATGGCAGGAAATACAGCAGATTTTAATGTCAGGTGACGGCGTCTTTACAAAATTGAGTGGATAAGCTAATGTAGTTAGCTTTACCACACTAGCTAGTAGTACTGAAATGTTGGAAGGGAGATTTGAACGTTTAAACTATGCTTATCCTGAATTTTTTTTTCTTTTCTTTGTCCTCTTTTATTAATTTGAATATGGGAGTTTTTGCACATTTTTATCATTTTGTTTCTGCTCTTAAGGAAAGTGAAACATTAACAAAATTATTTTAAGCTGTAGCTCTGTCTCAGCTGTTGTTCTTTCTACTTGTACTATACCATGCTGTGAAGCATGTTACATACTGCAGAGCATGTGTCTGGTGGTACACATTCAGACTCGTGCATATTTTTTATCGCATTACTTGCTGCTGCTTTCGTCAGAACTGTATCATGCTGCTATATGTAGTTTTAAAGAATGAAGTGCCCTATAGCAGATAGCTTTCAAAGCTGGTATTTCTCTCTGCTGCCAGCATATGTTCTATGATGCTTGTATACAGGAAACAATCTTGAGTTCAGGAGCTTATTCTGCCATGCACTGAATGAATGTTAAGTAAATTTCATCAAATTAATTGTACCGAAGAGAGGTACTGGTGTTTGGTTTTTTTCCCATCTGATTACTAAGAAAATGGTTGCTGATAGGTAAGTGAAGCCTTAAAACACAACCACTCTTACAAGATACTTTATGGCTCATAAAATCAGTCCTTTCATGCAAGATACGAAGAAAAATCTAAGCTCTTGGACAAATTCTTCAGATGTGTAAATTAAACAGAGTTGCATAGAGCTGGACCACTTAACAAAGCTGGGGTCTGGCTTAGGCCTGTTCTGGGGAAGGCAGTTGTTGCATTTTATCATGTTGGCACTTTCCAAATTCACCTTTATGTGAGAGAGATTTAAAGACCTGCATGTTGAACTTTGCAATCCTTTTATTCTATTAAAGAGTATATGATTTGTATTGAGACCTTTGAAAAAGAACATATTGTACCATGAAGTCATACTTTACAATTAAAATAAGTCACCTCCCACAGCAAATTTCTTTAAATTACTAGCTTTATATTAATCAAGATTAACAAGGCCGGTTCGTAGTCTTAGTTTTGCTTCTGTGGCTCTCAGATGAACACAGTGTAATCTGCAGTTTCGAATCGAAGAGCAACTCTTGTCCATTATTGCATGATATCCAAACAGTTCACGGAGAACTCTGAAAAGACTCTGGTAAAATCATAAAATACCAGGTTGGAAGGGACCTCAAGGATCTTCTGGTGCAAACTTTCTTGTCAAAAGCCTGATGACAAGATGGCCCCTCACCCTGTCCAGCTGAATCTTAAAAGTGCCCAGTGCCGGGGAATCCACCACTTTTGAGAGATTATTCCAATGGCTGATTGTTCTCATTGTGAAAAATTTTCCTCTTGTGTCCAATCAGAATCTCCCCAGGAGTAACTTGTACCCATTACCCCTCGTCTTTTTCATATGACTTCTTGTAAGAAGGGAGTCTCCATCTTCTTTGTAGCTCCATTGCAGTTTCTGGAACAGCAATTGGAATCCCTAAACACTAGTCAAGCAAACTCCTCTTCTGCACGCTTCTGCTACCCTGTGCAGGAGAGGAGTTTGCTTGGCTAGTGCATAGGGATTCCAGTTGCTGTTCCAGAAGCTGCAAATGTATTTGTCTGTTAAATATTCATTGGATATTTTGGGAACAGGAAGATGAATATTAGGTTCCTCCTTTGCACAAAGCTGTCATTTCTATAGTCCTCACACACAGTCTACCCTGTAGCCTAGCAGTTACGACATTTCTTAGTGAGAGGTGGCAATAGACATGGATTTATATTTCTATGCACTGAAGTCAGACTCATCTCAAATTCTGCAACTGTAGTGGGTGTTGATCGGTTATGTTATCGAGAAGGGAAAGCAGGATTTCAGGTTTTGGTTCAGCGATTGAAAGGCTTCTGTTTCCTGGGGGAGGATGGGATACAAAGATTCCTTTGTGCATGGTTTTTCCTACTGCACATCTTAGATGACTTCATTATGAGCATTTTGTTTTGTGTGAATCCCATTTTGAATTACTTAACTGTCATTTGCATGGTGTCCCACTGTCTCACAGTGCAGTGTGTGTGATGATTGCTGGAGATTTTATTTAATTGCTGTGATGTTCACTTAGTTGCACCAAAGTCCCTTTGTAGTCTTAGGTATCTGATGTCTGAAATGTCATAGCTGTACAAGGACCATTACTGACTTGAAAAATCAGTCCAAAACTTATGCCTACTGGTTTTGAAATAGAAGTAGTTAATTTTGATTTTGAGCTTCCACTTTTCCAGCAGCGACAGATCTGTCCTGCTGTGCAGAAATATACTATTCTAAAGGAGTAGCTTCCATCTTAGCAACGAATGAGTTTTCTTCCTTTAAATTGAGCTTTTAAGTGAACAGAATTCCTGGAAAGAATCTGTATAAACATAGAGCAGTCAATTAATTTAACTCGCTGCTTAGACTTCAGTGTATATGACATTGACTGATTGTATTGATGGGTGGTATCTAAATGAAAAATTAGAACAGAGCTGGCACCTGAACAGGCAGACTCTTAGGGAAGTAAGAGGAGGCTAGTATGGATTTGGGACATAGGATCTGTCTGGGAAGCAGATACTGTGCACTGTATTTTAGTTTTAAATCTTGGCCTGTGAACCAGTTGGTTCACCCCAAACAAAAGAGAACTTAAAAAGATCTGACATTAAAGAAAAAAACAGTTTCATGGAACAAGGAGGTCTCAAACATTTGGGTACAACCAGCATATATGACTCAGAGTTGTCTTAAGAAAGACTGTTTGCATTTTTTTAAGCAATTAACTCAAAGGTCTCCTCTGACTTTTAGAGGTACTATTTTTCAAAGCTGCAATTTACAGAAACTGAACTAGCTAATAAACAGGCTTGGGTACATTATTGATTCAGTCATGTTTCCTTTCAATAAGAAAATACTTTTTTCCCCCAAGCTTTCTAACCATTTTCAGATTCCATTATTGGTAAGAAACCTTGCAGGACTTTTGAAATAACTGCTTATTTATCTCAAAGATAGGCATGAATTGTGTTTTTAAACACATGAAAAAGTGTGGACAAAACTACCCCAAAGACAGCATTGGGTTAGGGAGATACACAGAAATGTGCGCGTATATATATGTATTCTCGTTAGGAAGCAACACTGCTATACGGTAGTCTGTTCTCCACCAGTGTTCTTGAATGTACAACAGGCAGAATTACCTTTAAAAGGAATGCACGGGTGAAAGAACATGGATTTTGGTATGTGTAAACATATGTGTGTGCTTATGTAATTTCAATGTTTTATCTTTCTTGTGTCCTGTCACATTGCATTTTCCAGGAGCAAAACTATGAAGATTCAGTAATTGAAAATGTCAAAGTTCCATAAGAAGTAAGAGCTTTTAATTTAGTCGGAAAAATGTGTTTAATCACATGGGTCAGTCACACGTCAATGTTCTGTCCTTTTGCTGTGTCTTCTGTAGAGGTAAATAGCAAGAAATCGCTTCATCTGCTATAATAGTTATAGTTATAATAGTTATAGTATTTTCACCAGAATATTATTTAATTTCTCTGCTAATTGGCTAAAAATGTAGAAGAAAAATCCTGGGGTCATGTTTGGGGTTTTTTTCCTAAGCTTTATGTGTAAATTGAGCAGAATTTTTTTTCCATTGCCACAGCAGATTTATAATTAAGAGTGTATTTACCAATAAATAGACACAAATCCTCTTTTGTTCATATAAAAGAATGTGTATCTAATTCAAGCAGTGCTTAGGATCAGAACACTGCAGTTTTTAATTGAGAAAGTAGCAAGCAAAGGTCAATGTAGCAAGTCTGTCATGAACTTGTTGAGAATAGTTTTAGTGGACAGCCTTGGTTTGAGTCTTGCTCACCAAGGAAAGTTCCTTCATAATAACCAAGAACTGCATGATGTCTTCACTGCACGTTTTTTACAGCACCTTGCTGACAGGAAAGATACTACCACCTCCTCAGGTGAGATTCGGGCATACAAGGCAGGGCTTGCCGCCATTTCTGAGGTGATTTTAAAGATATGTCAGAGAGAGATCAGCTGTGGTTACTGAGTTCTGCTAGGCTGTTTCACAGCACGTCCTAATAGCATGCAGCCCATGGATTCAGGATTCACAGTGCCTAACTGAAGTCTCTGTGACAATCCTTTTCAGTTTTCCGTGGTATAATCAGCAAATAAGAATCACTGGGCTTTTACCTCTACCTATTTTATAGGTTTGTTGAGATTCCAAAAGGGGCTATGTGAACACTTTTTTTTTTTAAAAAAAAGTGCAGCTCTCAGCAAACTGTTCAGAAAATGTCTCATATTTGCTCTTGATACTTGACATTTGTTTCTAAAATGGCATCAATATCAGAGTTAATATTAGAAAAATAGTAAAAATAGCAAAACAAATTAACAAGACTTGGAAAAATAAATCTACCAAAGTCATCCCCCAAAAGCTGTCCCCCTTTATCCTTATAGTAAGCCTAAATGTAATTCTCCTTATACCTCTAGTACTTCCAAGGACTGCAGCTTAGCTTAACATTTTTTCTCTATAGTATTCTTGGTTAAGACCAAGTGCAGATGCGCAGTCGAGGAAGTGTCCTCACCTGATAACAGCCATGGTCTTCAGCCTTAATTCATCTGCTCTCCTTGGTCTTCTAGTCTTTGCTTGGGAAAGCAAGAGGGGGGATCTAAAAAGAAGATGGGAAGTCAAGATGGCAGTTCTGTAGTTACTGGGATTTGAAGAGACCATGGGACAAAAAAAATGGTGATGGGAGAGGGTTTCTATTCCTATTCAAGTTTATCCATGAAGCTGGTCACCATAACTGACTATTTGATTTCTCTTTCCTGGTATCCCTTTCCACTTCAGAGTTATTAATGA